ACCTATTGTCAGGCTGAAGTTAAATTAATTTGTTTCAACTTTTCACCCCCCCTGAAGGTCATATTTAAAAACTGAAAATAGAATAAAAGTTCTGCAGTTAAAATTCAAAAACATGTGACTCGTTTTACTCTACCTACCAGACTGGAAGTAAGTTATCATTTTTTAAATTCAAGGCAACATTCATTCATTATTTTAACAAATAAACTAGAAAATGTTCTCACAAGCTCTCCTATTTCTTACATCTATAAAAGCATCCCAATTATAATCATCACTGTATTATTCTTCCTTTGGAACATTTGGTACTCTGCTACATCGAATAAGACCTGGAGATAAAATGAATTTGTGTTTGTTTTAATTTTTTTTTTTTTAATAAAATGTGCTTGAGTTTTTTCTTGGTGCCTTCAACTGTTTTAAAACTACATGTATTTATTTTTGTCTCCCCAGCTTAGCTAATGAAAGACATTGAATAAGTCTTAATGGGTATCTTGGATGGAAGACTCTATACAGTGCTTTTAAGAATTATTACTGGCTTTGGCCTCCCAACAGTTTTCATCTTCTTTTTTTGTTTTTTGGAGAGGTTTTTCACTACAGGGCGCATGTGTTCGCCAGACAGACAGAGACAGAGAGACAGAAAGCGAGAAATCACCCCCCAGGGGGGATGGTCACCACAATCCCTTCTCCTCCATTCTCCTCTCGGGATCTTGGGCACGCACGCACACGCGCCCGGCGTGAGTTTTAAGCCACCGGGTCCGGGATGCGAACCGCGGTCGACTACGTTGGAGTCCAGCGACATAGCCATTACGCCAACTGCTGGTTCCCCAGTTTTTGTCTTCTTGAACTTCCCCACAGAACTGACCATCACATCCCTAAAGCACTCTTTTTGGTTGTTTTCTGTGACAACTTATTCGATTTTCTGTCTATAATTTTAGAGGTATTTCTAGTTACAGAATTTTGATCTCCTCTCCTCCACATTTCTCCATTTTGTAATCACATTCAATTCCATATATTTAATTGCCATTTTGGGAATGATTCCCAAATCAAATCTTTTATCATTTAGTCACTCAGTGTGCCCCATTCTGTTCTCCCGGGATAAGCATCTCTTCCCTTGGACCATGGAATGGCTCAGAAGGGAGGCAGAACGGAACCCTGGGATAGACGTTCTGAAGGGGTGTGTATAGTATAAAGAGCTACCACTGGATGGTGCCCAACCTAGACTTTGTGTCCCTGGCCCTTTCAAGACTGGTTAAAGCTTAGTGAAGAAACTAACTTCTAGCCAAAGGAGAAAGGGAAAAGCACAGAATAAGCACTGGCATGGAATTACAAGGTAAAACTGTGAAGTACAAGTGGAGTTTGCTGTGGTTGGGCCCGCAAGACGCTGGTTGGGAAAGGGCCTTAGATGAAATAGGAAAGCGAAGTAAGAACCAGATGCAGCAGACCTCCAACACCTGGAAGAGTTAGGCTTCAGATAGTGGAATGTTTGCACGGTACACAGACTACACTGGCAGCAAAGTAGGAAACACACACAAAGACAGTCTATGCTTATCATTTTATTTTTTTTAGATTTCTTCACATAAGCTTTGTGCTTGCTGGAGAGAGACAGAGAGAAGGAAAGTGAGAAATGTCTCCCCAGGGGGATTGGCCACATTGTAATCCCTTCTGCTCCATTATCTTCTCATGATTCTAGGCACACACGCACATGTCCTGGTGTGACTCTCAAGCTCCAGGACTCGAACTGTGTTAGGCCATATGGGATCCAGGACTTGAACCACCATGTCACCTACTGGCCCATGCCTTGTTTACTTTTTCACTTGCAGAGTTATGTTATACACAGTGAACATTCAAGAGTGATTTGCCTTGTGGATGATCCTAAATCAAGATAAGGATGATTTGGGACCAGCAGTTAGTGTAATGGCTATGTTGCTGGACTCCCATGTAGTCGACCATGGTTCGAGTCCCGGACCCGGTGGCTTAAACTAATGCTGGGGGCAGGTGCGGGCGCTACAGAGGGAGGAGAAGGGATTGCGGCATGGTCATCCCCCTGGGGGGTGATTTCTCGCTTTTTGTCCCTCTCTGTCTGTCTGGCGAGTTAATGTGCCCTATAGCGAAAACCACTCAAAAAAACAAAACAAAACAAAACAAAAAACAAACAAACAAACAAAAGAAACAAGATAAGGATGACTTAAAATAAGCATTTTTTAAATATGTAGATAATCCTCGAATTATGCATTGACTGTATTCTAGAAGTTAATTTGTCAGTCAGTTGTTTGGAAGAAAGTTTTCTGTTTCAGTAATTAGGTTTGCTATGGTCTAAAGTCACTTTTTCAATTGTGTACCTGAGCCTTGTTTTAGAGAAATGAAATCCCAAGTAGAAATTCTTATTGTAACTCTTTCACTATGATATTAGAAGGGTTGGATAACTGAATTTTATTAACTAGGTCATCTTTTCTATCTACGGAAGAAATGCAGTCACTGTAAAAAAAAAAAATCAATGAACACACACTTAGAACAGACAGACACACACGCATAAAGCACAAACTTAGGACTAATGTGCTTATTTTCTGAATGGAAAACACTAGAGTGAAAGACTCCAGATTGGATCCCCACTGATCGCAATCAAATGCAACTTGGGTGGTGCCATAACTTAATGCTGTACACATTTTCCACAGTACTTGAATTCTCAAGACAACAAAATCGAACAGCTAGGCACCACGCTAGATGTTTAAGTTATACAAAGACAAATAAGAAACAGTTCCCATCTAGGAGAGAACTCGCATGATGGTGTAGAAGAAAGAATTATGCATGGTTCTCTCAAAGTTTGTGGAAAATACCTATATAAAAAAATGGGTTTTAAAACATTTTTCTATCACACTAAACTCATACCTTACTTCTCTTTGCCATAATACAAGCCCTCTTGTATACCCCAGCCAGGGAGGGCTGTGACTGAGGACCCGTCTTGCTATCACTTTCTAGAGGTGCTCAGGCTGGCTTCACAACAAAAGGGGGTGTTTGAGCTCAATCCTGAAAAATAAGTGTGAGTCTTTACAGAATAAGGGGTTAAGGGCTTTGTAGAAGTTATAGTTTGTTCAAATGTGTGACGCTTTTGAGGATCCCCAAAGAGTTCAGTGGGGCTGCAGCACAGAAAAGAAATGTGAGGAAGGAGAGGAGAAGTCAGGAATCAAATTATGAACAGCTTTATTGAAGATGCTCAGCATTTAATCTTTATCACTAAGAAAAGAAGAGGACAAAAATGAGATGGAATGCTGCAGAATACTGACACTTCAGGGACAGGCACAAACATTTAGTTGTGTTTGTTGAATTATACTCAAGCTAGGATTATTACTTTAAATTTTTTTAAATAGAGGTTTTTGCCTTAAGGCACATGCACTGGCCAGAGAGAGAGACAGAGACAGTGAGAGGGAAAGTGAGAAATCACTCCCCAGGGGAGATAACCAAGCTGTAATCCCTTTTCCTCCATTCTCCTCTCAGAATCTTGGGCAAGCACGCATAGGCACCTGGCATGAGTTTCAAGCCACCAAGTCTGAGACTCAAACCACAGTCAACTATGTGGCAGTCCAGCGAGATAACCGGTCTAACATCTGTTGGTTCCAAGATTATTACATTTAAAAAGATTATTTCCTACACTTACAGCTGAAAGATGAACTATATCTTGAAACCTGACAACTACAGGAACGATCCAACAATTTCTCATCACGATGAACACTAAATTAGGAGTAAAATCATCAGGCACTCTTACATATTCTAAAAGATCTAGTGGTATATATAAATTCTTGCAAAATTCCTTAACCAGATCTAAATTTAAAATAAGAGCTGGAAAAGTCAGGGCATATTTATGTAGATAAAGGAAAATTACTGGCATTCAGTTGTTTTTGGTTTTCATCTGCTTTTAAATCATGTCGATTACAAATTAACCTATTACGTCTTTAGCAGAAATGAATACAAGTGTTCAGAAAGCAGCGTATAATTTAGGAACAGACAGTAATGGATAGTTGCAGCGAGAGATAAATATTCCAACTCTGTTTCAAAACTTTTTCTCCAACCTGTAAGTGCATCTAAAACCTAAGGTAGATTGATTATGTATACATATTCTACAACTATTTCAAGGAAGCCCAAGAAACAAGAGACTTATCAACACAAGACTGAAATTTCACTACAAACTCATTCCACTTCGTGATGCACTAAGACCAATTCTGATCTCAGAAGAGATATGAAACAAGGGAATATGGCCAGAGAATAGGAGTCCTGCCATATATTCAGTCAGTGTCAATAAGTATCACTCTCTTAGGCTTACAATAAAAATTCAAAAGGAGAATTGCAGCAAGACTATAGCCATGTTCAAAAGAAGCAGCATAAATCATTCTGCCTCACAACTGATGTATTAAACATGGCAGAACCCTTGGTCAGTAATGAAATAAAAAAATGCCATAATAATTTTGACAGTGAAAATCACATCCGTTATATTCAACAGAGAATTAGCTTCCTCTCACAGAGACTCTTAAAACCCCTCAACTAGACAAGTATTTAAATCACTTACATAATATTTAATTTAGCTGTTCTTCCAACTAATTTCTGTGATGGAGTTGTTAGGTAGGCACTGAATTCTCACCAATTGTGATTCAAAGGATACGGCGTAAAGAAAATGAAGGGAACTACTGTTACATTGATCAGTGTTAATACATGAAATTAGAATGTACTATAATATTGTTAGTCTATTTATTACATGTAATCTAAGGAAAAAGCCTTGACGGTGTGACTAATGCTGATGAAATATGTGAATGCCATTTCAGGAATGGAGAATATGAATTGATAGATCTTTCTGGTTGCTTTATTACTGAAGCCACATTTACTTTTATACAAAGACAAACTGAAGAAAAAGCAAGTATGTTTTAATGAACGACATAGCTAAGAAATGTGTGCCTTACATAGATCTAACCATTAGCATAACATAGAACCCTTATAAGGGGAGTGAGTCTCTCTTTCACCTCATTAATGAAGTCTCCGATGTCCCCAGGGTGCGGGGCTGCAGATCGGACTGGATACTGGGGCTCGGCATGGATGGGTCTCTCATCCAGTCGTCGGATTCCTACAGGCTTGATGGCATCAGGCTCAACGGTATCAGGCTGCTGGAGCTGGCTCAAGTCATAGTCCTGCAAAAGACAAAATAAAAAATCCCATGATAGATGGGCATAAAGATGGAAAATTACAACTTTTGTTTTAAAACATACTCAGAATGCATAGAAATGAGTGAAATTTAACATAATGGAAAAGTTGCCACTACGAGTTTTTCATGTTATGATTAAATATTTCTTTCACACAGCTCTTTCTTCTGTGTTTTTCATTTCTACAGTCTGTGCTCCATCTGCTTTACAATGTTCCTCATCAGTTTCCAATGGAAAACAGCCGTGCGATGAGGTCTCACTGTAAAATGACTAAAAATCCGACTAGAAAATATAGCTGTACCATGAAAGCAAAGGTATAAGCCTTAATGTCTTCAATAGTAAAAATAAATGATGTGGGTGCTTTTTCCTTTTCCCTAAAGGAAAGCATTAGTTCACTGAGGTTGCGAGCTATCTTTCATTCCTCTCTCCCTTCTATGGTCTGCCGCCAGAGTCAGTAAACTATGGTCTGTGGCCCTGTCTGACCTGTGGCCTATTTTTCTCTAAGAAAGACTTTTAAATTTTTAAAGGGTTACTTAAAATAACAACAACAAAGAATGTGCTACAGAGACTATAAGTGGACCACAAAACCAAAACTTTTTACTATCTGGCCCCTTAGAGAAAAAGTTTGTCCGTGTCTAGTGGTACCAGGCCACAGAAAGTGTGGATTCTCTTCCAAGGCAGCCCCTGTGGGATATCACTTTCAGAGAGGTGGAGGAGAACATGTCAACAAGGATGCTCTGGGCATAGGTTGGGCTTCAGAACTAGTTTCAGCTGTAACGCCAACTGGACAGGGATCGACAGACTGACTATAATGTGGACATGATCAAAATTCTAGGTTTGGGTAAGTACTTTGTAGTGTTCAAACCTTTAAACTCTGGTGCTATAAAATGACATATCCGTGGCTTAACCAAAATTCTCCAGTTCAGTGTTGACATTTATAGAAAGTACAGATTTTCTGGTATTCAGCTGAAGCCTTGTCTCTCTGTTTAAAGTTAACTTAAAATCTTTTGCAGTGTCTTAACAGTGGTTCTGATTTTCCACACCTGAACATTTACCATGTTTTGGTAATATTCTCGTTGTTTTAACTACGTCCAGTCATTTAATTGTTTTAACACCACATGTGGTTTCAAGTTTTATTATCCCCATCCCCACTTAAGAAACAAAAAAACTGAGTTTGAAGTAACCCAAGTAACTCACCCAAAGTCCTCACTCTATTAAGACACAAAAATAGACTCTTACTCCAAATATATTAGACTCCAAAGTCTGGTTCTTTTCACAGTCATGTGTGAGGATGAGTCAAATCTTGAGTTACAAGGTTGGATTTAGGGTTACAAACCAGATAGATGACCATGGATGGACAAGAATATGAAGAATGCTTAAGTTAACAAAGGAAATAAAAGGGAGAAGGATTTCTAACCTTCGTATGTGCCATGAACTCTACTAGGCTGTTGATAAGTGTTTTCTTACTACCAATACTTTCCAACAAAGTTGTGAAAAATGATTTATTGTCTCATCTCTATAGATAAGAAGACTCATAAGGGTTGAGTAACTTGCCCAAGGGATTAAGATGAGAATCAAAACCAGGTGTAGGTGACTTCAATACATCTGATTTTAATCTTAAGTCTATGTTTTCTTTTAATTACACAGTATGGAACATTTATTTTTAATGTGATTTCTGTACTAGCTATGTTTTCTAATCCTGATGACAGTCCCCATGAATAATTCCTTACCAAGAGCTTCAACTAATCATGCCAGGTTTAAGCGCCAAGATATCATGACAGAAAAGCTTCTCCTCTCAGGAGTGTGCAATGTGACATGGAAAATGAGGTTGATACAGAGTAGGACAAGCCAGAGTGGGACGTAAACTTGGTATATCACAAAGTCTAACATTTTCAAAGGTGTAGGGTTAGGAGAAGGGGACTATCGAGGATGCCTCTCTCTCTCTCTCTCTCTCTCTGTCATGCTCATGTGCACACATCACTCTTTGTGATTAAAAAGTAAATAAATAAATGCTCAGAGGGAAAACTGGTTTTTGGTTTGAACCTTGAACCATATATGGACTAAGGAGAAAGCACTGTTTTGGAAAAATAAACAACATGAGCAAAGAAAAGTACTGTTTTCTTTTGTTAAGACAGAGTATGTCAAACCATCCACATGAAACCTGAGTGAAAATATCTTGCTCTTGCACAAATGTGCTCCATTTTCAACATTACAGAATTTATAATTGTGAGTTAGTAATAGGATATCATAAAATAAAGGCCTACAATGATAAAAATATGAAAGCCTTAAAAATGTTAAAATGTTATACAAGATAAGAAGAGTTTATTTAGAGTATTCTAAATGCTTTCATTCTCAGAAGCAGGGCTTTCCAGGCCACATTTAATTGCATAACCACCTTGCACCATAGAGTGGGTGAACAGTGAGTAAATGAGGTTCTCAAAATTACCAAAGCTTTTCCTAGAAGAGAGAAAATACATAGTAAGTTTATTTATGATAGCTAATATATGCTTCTACCCTGAGTATGCAAAATGCTTTATCAGAATTTTGAATTACACAAAATAGGGAACTGAATATTATGATTAGGGACTGCTTTTACCTAGTGACATATTCCTTGATAGGCCTGGGTGTACTATATGATAGTTCTGCATAACAATCACAAGAAACAGATGGTTTCAGACTTATGATGATTAGACTTGTAATTTTTTGACTTTATGCCTCAATCCCTTCTCCTCCATTCTTCTCCCAGGATCTTGAGAACAGCATGCGTGTGTGCACGCGCACACACACACACACACACACACACACTCACACACATGCCTGGCATGATTTTCAAGCCACTGGGTCTGGGACTCAAACTGTGTTCGGCCATGTGGGAGTCTAGAGACATAACTGCTATGCCATCTGCTGGTCCCAGCACTGACTTCTTATCTAACTCCCACTGTACCCAAGGGTTGCAAATACAAATAGAGTTTGACTGAGGAGAGTGTTTTAAAAGTATTCAAGTAAGTCACCAACATCTGACATAGGTATATCTCCCCTGAAAATAGGATGAGCTGGCAAAATAGAGCTCACATTCCTGCATGACATTAGCTACAGCTGATAGCAGCTGTCCTCTTTAAACAGGGCATCATCTCCTTCTAGCCTGCTTCACTAATTTATGTGGATATAACACACTTCTAGAATGGCATATTAATTTACAGCATCTTCTCTTTCTTTTGATAGCCTTTTTCTATTAGCCTGGGAACCAGAGAGCAGCAAAAGCCTAAAAATTTCTTTGGTCTTGCTCAGTTCTTATGACCGTCAGTGTGTTAGCCTCACGGAAAGTGATCACTAAGTGGCCAGCTGGTGGCATGGTGGTTAAGGCAAATGGAACACACATGGTTGACTTAGCAGTTTCAGTTCCACATTGGTAGACTGAAAGACAAACCAGGCATGTGTGCATGCATACTCAACATCCCGAGTGGAGAAAAGGAGAAGGGAATGTGGCAAGGCCATCCCTCTGGATGGATGCCTTCTCACTTTCTCTCACCCTCTCCAGTGGGTGCACACACTTTATAGCAAAAATGAAAACAAACAAACACAACTCACTGGACCCAGGTGGTGGCACAGAGGTAACAACTGTACCCACATGACAAAGGACATGCGTTTGTGTCCTGGGACCTCTCTGAGCAAGCTAGGATTGAACATTCCTGTGATCTGATGGCCAGCTGAGACTAGGGATGGATAACAGCATGAAGCTTCTGTTAGGAGCACTTTTCTATCTCTGTCTCTCTTTGTGTTTCTCATGGAAGAAATAAAAAAAAAAAACGCGCACACACACACACACACACACACACACTCACACACATGCCTGGCATGATTTTCAAGCCACTGGGTCTGGGACTCAAACTGTGTTCGGCCATGTGGGAGTCTAGAGACATAACTGCTATGCCATCTGCTGGTCCCAGCACTGACTTCTTATCTAACTCCCACTGTACCCAAGGGTTGCAAATACAAATAGAGTTTGACTGAGGAGAGTGTTTTAAAAGTATTCAAGTAAGTCACCAACATCTGACATAGGTATATCTCCCCTGAAAATAGGATGAGCTGGCAAAATAGAGCTCACATTCCTGCATGACATTAGCTACAGCTGATAGCAGCTGTCCTCTTTAAACAGGGCATCATCTCCTTCTAGCCTGCTTCACTAATTTATGTGGATATAACACACTTCTAGAATGGCATATTAATTTACAGCATCTTCTCTTTCTTTTGATAGCCTTTTTCTATTAGCCTGGGAACCAGAGAGCAGCAAAAGCCTAAAAATTTCTTTGGTCTTGCTCAGTTCTTATGACCGTCAGTGTGTTAGCCTCACGGAAAGTGATCACTAAGTGGCCAGCTGGTGGCATGGTGGTTAAGGCAAATGGAACACACATGGTTGACTTAGCAGTTTCAGTTCCACATTGGTAGACTGAAAGACAAACCAGGCATGTGTGCATGCATACTCAACATCCCGAGTGGAGAAAAGGAGAAGGGAATGTGGCAAGGCCATCCCTCTGGATGGATGCCTTCTCACTTTCTCTCACCCTCTCCAGTGGGTGCACACACTTTATAGCAAAAATGAAAACAAACAAACACAACTCACTGGACCCAGGTGGTGGCACAGAGGTAACAACTGTACCCACATGACAAAGGACATGCGTTTGTGTCCTGGGACCTCTCTGAGCAAGCTAGGATTGAACATTCCTGTGATCTGATGGCCAGCTGAGACTAGGGATGGATAACAGCATGAAGCTTCTGTTAGGAGCACTTTTCTATCTCTGTCTCTCTTTGTGTTTCTCATGGAAGAAAATAAAAAAAAAAAAACTTTAAAAAATGTTCATAAAAAAGCACTTAATATAATCTCAGCAATGGCATTCATACAATATGAAAAGAGTAGCCAATTCAAGAAATGTGAGCTGGATCACCTTACACTCCATAGCACTAATTCATAGGAGGAGGGAAGAAAAATA